TATTTTTTTTTTTTTTTTGAGAGGTTTTTGCTATAGGGCCTGTGCGCTTGCCAGACAGATAGAGAGAGACAGAGAGAGACAGAAAGCGAGAAATCACCCCCCAGGGAGGATGGCCATGCCGCAATCCCTTCTCCTCCATTCTCCTCTCGGGATCTTGGGCACGCACGCACACGCGCCCGGGTGAGATTTAAGCCACCGGGTCCGGGACGCAAACCGTGGTCGACTACGTGGGAGTCCAGCGACATAGCCATTACGCTAACTGCTGGTCCCAGGGGAGAGTGGGATTTCGATTTGCGTGCCACGGATCGGCTTCCCAGCGCCCAGGCCCTCTTTCCTAGGCCCCTACTTAAAGCTTTGTTCCCGCCGCCTGTCAGGAGCAGGTAACAGTACTCGTCTCTGCGTGACGGTCACTGAATGACTCAAGACCGTAGACGGAACAGACTACGTGTGAGCCTTCGGTGTTGCTCAACAGCTGGCAGAAACGCGTGGGTGTTCATGGAAGAAACCCCGGCCTCTCCAGCTGTTTCTCTGTCCCGGGGCGTGGGGGGCTACTCAAGGAAACAGTGCCTTGCTGAAGAGAACACATAGAACTCTCTGATGGAGGGCGTGTGCGCGGCGGGCTGGGGCGAGTGTCTAACGGAACGCGGCTCACAGAAGCACAGGACAAGTGGCTCTGCCTTCGTAACTGCCCCGCCGTCTCGGCACTGCCTGTGGTCACCGGGAACAGCACCGTCTCTGGCCACGCCGTGGCAGCAGAGTCCAGGCGGCCCTCAGTGGGAGTGAAGGCCCCACAGTTCCCAGCCCGTGTACTGAGCCCCCAACCCGGTCTTGGGTGAGAACAGTGTGGTAGCCAATGTGTGTGAACACACCGTTCCCTTGGACTCCCGATAGAGCGTGTGCCTGAGCCCGTGCAGTCAGAGAGGAGTGCCCCCCACGGGGCTCAGTCATGCGTGACCCCCTGCCCCAGTCTTCCAACTCACTGAGATCCTGGCATGTGTGTGGCTGGCATGTTTCCACACTGACAGGCCTGGCACTTGCACCGCAGTGGGCACCTGGCTCTCACGCTACCAGCTGTGCCGCAGAGACGCACTTTGTTTTCATCTAATTCTCAGGGGGTGTGTGAACTCAGCAGAGACAGTGAGACAGAGCTGGAGAGACCCCCACAAGGGGACGCGGGGAATGATCATGCCACAGTCCCTTCTCCATTCCTCCACCCTGCTGGGACCAGAGGCACACACATGCCTGGTGTTTTTCTCAAGCCATCAAGGCTGGGACTCGAACCATGGGCAACTACGTAGGCCTGGGTCTCTTAACCAGTAGGCCATGGCGTGGCCCGGTATTTCTATTCGTTACCGCTCCTGGCACCCACACCCTTCGGCATGTGACTTCATAGCTCCTTCCATCAAAAGGAAGAGCGTCCGGCGAGCAGGGGGATGGCATGGCGGTGAAGGCGCTGGATCCCACATGGCTGACCGCCCGGTTTGAGACCTGGGCCTGGTGGGTTGAAAATCACGCTGAGAGCATTTGAATGTGTGGCTAAAATCCAAAGAGGATCTGGAGGAGAATGGATTATGGTGTGGCCATTCCTCTGAAGGGTGATTTCTCACTTTCCCTCTGTGTCTCTCTGGTGAGTGCACACATACTATCGCAAAAACAAAAACAGAGACAGAGAGAGAGAAAATATGAAAAAAAAATGAGGAAGGAGGAGAGTATATCCCCTGGGAGTCCTGGCTCTGCGTCCGGCCATTGGCTTTGGCCAGGGGGCCGTCAGCAGACGAGGCACCAGCAGAGGTATGACAAGGCTCTCACGCCCTGCTGCATGTGTTCTTGCACCTCCAGTGTCACTAGGAGGTGGCAGCCCCACCTACTGGAAGAAGGGAGACATGACACACAAGGCCTGGTCTCTCAGATCAGCAGGCCAGCCCAGCCTCACACCTGAGATCCCAGCCGCCCAGACTTGAGCAAAACACGTACAATTGTGCCCTCCTGAGCTGCCACGGCCGGTCGGTACACAGCGGTACGAGGCCACAGGGAGTCGATCCGTGCCCCCTGACAGAGCAGGCTGGCCTCAGCTAGCCCGGGACAGGGTGGTGCAATGAGGGAATGTGATTCCCTTCTTAGTATTTTCACCGAGTCGCAAAAACCAAAATAAGTGACTGCCTTGTGCTTGGTGAGGATAAACTGTTGGTGCACACGGCGTCTCAGGTTTGGGGGCTGGAAACTATTCTCCCTGAAGAGTTCTGCCTCCAGGGGCCAGCAGGTGACATGGTGGTCAAGGCAAAGGCTTCCTACATGCCTGACTGTGGTTTGAGTCCCAGACTTGGAGGCTTGCTTTCTCACTTTCCTGTTCACTCGCTCTCTCTGGTGAGTGTGTGCCATATTCCAAATTAAAAATAAATAAATAAATAAATAAATAAAATTGTGAAAAAGAGAGTTCTTTGGTTTATGTTCTGGTTGCATAAATCCTGCTTTTAGAAACCCTTTCCCTAGGGACCAGCAGGTGGTACAATGGTTACGTCATTGAATTCCACATAGTTGACTGTAGTTCAAGTCCCGGACCCGCTGCCTTAACCTCATGCCAGGTGCATGCGCATGCCTAAGATCCCAAGAAGAATGGAAGAGAAGTGATTGTGATGTGGCCATCTCTCCTGGGGGGTGATTTCTTGCTTTCTGTCTCTCTGTCTCTCCGGCGAGTGCACATGCCATATAGCAAAAACCTCTCCAAGAAAAGAAAAAGAAAACCAAACCTCTCCCAATTTCTAAATTTCCTCAAAGTTTCTACCTTATTAATGTACCTTAAGCATGTCCTAATCTTGTCTTACTACTTTTGAGAGGGTTCTTATACGAGGGTAGTTCTGAGAGGCCAATTTTTTTTTTTCCCCAAAGAATTATTTACTTACTTAATTCCGTTTGTTATCGTTTTTTAATTTGACCTGCACTAGAGAAAGGGAAAGTGAGAAAGCAAGCTGTCAGGTCCGGGACTCGAACCGTGGTCGACCTCGTGGGAGTCCAGTGGCCGTGAGAGGCCTACTTTGGAGAGGGTTCCCCATTCCCTCGGCCTCCTGCTGGCGGCTGCTGGGACGGAAGACTGGACCTCGGGCGGTTCCCAGCAGCCCCCGGGCCAGGGAGCAGCCCCGTTGCTTACTGTGGGTGGGTCATGTTGAAGGGTGCAGCCAGGGCCATGGGTGTCCTCGGTGTCTAGTGGGGCTCAGCTGCCCTCAAGCCTGTCGTCAGCATTTCTAAACGTGGGCTCTCCAAGACACATCCAAATATAGTGTCCTGAAAACGGAAATAGGAATGTTACCTTCAGTCGCCACCCGGGTCCTCAGCGCGCCCGAACGCCGCGTCCTGAGAACTTCCTTCCAGATGGCGCTTCCCTTCAAGGCGACATTGAGCAGACGCCTGTGGTTACCCCCACGTGGGTGGGGGGACAACGGGTCTTGCTCTCTCTGTCTCTCTATCTCTCTAATTGCCAGAGGCCACGTGTGTTCACCAGGGAGAGAGACAGAGACGAAGAGCGGGAGAGGGAGGAAGCACCTCCCTGTGGGGCATGGACGCCTCCATCCCTTCTCCATCCCGTTGGGATTGGGGGCCCGTCTGCACATGCGCCCAGCGTGGTTTTCAAGCTGGAACCGCGCCTGGCCACGGGGATCCGGCTTCCTTTCAACCCTAGGCGACAGGGCTGGTCCACTCAATTTGTAAAGAGGAGGAGACAAGGCCGACTGACGACTTTTCTGTGTCGCGCAGAGCTGGCGGAGGGGCCAGTTCGGGCCTCAGGTTTCCGACTCCTCAGCTGAGGCATAACGTGCTGAGTAGTTCCACTTCAGGAACCTCAGAAATAAGGCTCGGTAGGGACTGACTCCAGATCCCACACACTTCGAGTCCCGGACCCAGGGCCCCGAGAAACACGCCAGGCATGTGTCCGCACATGCCCCAAATCCTGAAAGGTTAGAGAAATGGAGAAGGGATTGTGGCATGACCACACCCCCATTGGGGGAGCTTTCTTCTCTCTCTTTCTTCTCTCTCTCTCTCTGGTGAGTGCACATACCGTCTGGCAATTAAAAAAGTATGTAAAGGACAAACCCAGGGTCTGGGTGTTTTTTTAATATATATTTTTTAATTTACTCCATTTGTTATTATTATTATTATTTTAACCATAGAGAGACAGAGACGGGGGGGGGGCAAGCTGCCAGGTCCGGGACTCGAACCGCAGTCAGGCCTGTGGGAATCCTGTGCCTTTATCTACCACACCACCTGCCAGCCCCACGTCGGGGTGATTTTGAACAAGTTACTAGGGAGGTCGCTCAAAGGGACCATCTTTGCAGGCTGCGTTCTGCTGCAGACTGCTTTGCTTACGAGCGATCAGCGCAGGGACAAAGCTGCTTTCTCGTCCTGAGGACCGCCAGCTCTTAGGGGCACAGGAGCCAGAGGGAAGGGGGGACCCTGGCGCCTCGCACAAAGGGACAACTGAGACGTACTGGGGTAATGTCAGTTTGTAAAGTCAGGACGCTCCTGTAACCCCTGTGCAATTGAGAGAAGGGGACGCTCAAGGTACAGAAATCTGAGGGGCCACCCCATGGCATGGTGGTTAAGGCAGCCGGATCCCACATGGCTGACCATACAGTTCAAATCCTGGACTTGGAGGCGTGAAAAACACACCAGGTGCGTGTGCGTGTGTGCCCCAAATCCTGAGCGGAGAAAGGACTGTGGGGCGGCTGTCTCCCCAGGAAGCGATTTCTCTTTCTCCCCCATTCCCCTGAGCGTGCACACACACACACACACACACACACACACACACACGCACACACACGCACACACACACCATAGCAAAATTTAAACAGAATAATAAAAAAATAAGGAAATCCTGGGAAAAGTAGGACTTCTATGGAAGTAGGCCAGACGAAGAGGTCTCTAAGACGAGCAGGCCTTCAGTCCAGGACACTAACCGTTTCCGCAGCAGGTCTCTGGCGGCCGAGGGGAGACGTGGGCAATGGCAGGACACCGCCGGGGAGAATTTGGACAGACCTTTGTCATCGCCCTTGTCGGGGGCTGGACCTAGAACAGAGCTCTCTCTGCAGTCCTAAGATCGTGTTTACACGTCGCAGAATTCTCTGCTCCGTAACAGGTTTAATCAGCCCCCATCTTGTCTGTCCTCTTCAGAACGCCTCAGGGTGACAGAGTCTTCCCAGTATTAAGTGGTGGCCTGGATCCTCGAACCTCCACGGCCAGTGAAGTCAGGATTGAGGAAGCCAGAAATGGGGGGCGGGTGAGCAGGACGGTCGGGCAGATGTCTAGGAAGTCCCTTCCCCACGAGAACTTCACCTGCTACCCAAGGTTTCAGCGCCGTGGAGGAGAACAGAGGGAGGCCCCTCCTCTCGTGGCCCTTCCAGGCTGGCTGCACGGGCAGGTTTAATGCATAACTCCAAATGTTTTGCATCTCAGTGAATAACGGGTGAGAATCGGTACAGCTATGTACAGATAATAAGCACCAGTTAGTGCCCGAACTGGCCCCTCCGCCAGCTCTGCATGACACAGAAAATATAAAATCCATGCAGAGAAAGAAATGACGCCAGTTTAAAAAAATAATGATTTAATTTTATTTATTTATTTTTAAATTTGCTATGGGGCATATATGCTCACTAGAGAGACACATAAAGAGAAAGAGAGACAGAGAGACAGAGAGAAAGTGAGATGCAAATTGTCAGGTCTGGGACTGAAATCACGTGGCCATATGGGAGTCCAACACCTCAACCACCATGCCACCTGCTGGCCCCCATGAAGACTTTTTTTTTTAAAGAGAGATGTTTGGTGCAGGGCACTTGTGCTTGCCAGAGACAGAGAGAGACAGAAACGGAAAGTGAGAAATCACCCCCCGCAGCGGGGATGGCCAGGCTGCAATCCCCTCTCCTCCATTCTCCTCTCGGGATTTGGGGGATGCATGCACACCTTCCTGTGTGAGTTTTAAGCTGTCGGGTCCAGGACTCGAACCTCAGTTGACCACAGTCCAGTGACATAACCATTATGCCATCTGCTGTTCCCTATGCAGTGTTTTTTTTTTTTTTTAAAACGAGGACTTCTGTCTCACGAAGTCTCCTGCAGTCTGATTACAGGGCCCCTATCCATTTCATGGTATTTAACATCTTCTGTTTCCTGTACTTTCTGTGGATTGTCTTAAATCCGTAGACTTTAATCAAGTTTAGGTTTTTCTTTCTTTTTTCCCCAAGACTTTATAGGTGGTTTCATAACTTCATTAGGAGACTCATAATATCTGCTAGTCCTTTTTAAGAAATGTATTTGCTATAGGACTTGTGCACTCACTGGGGAGACAGAAACAGAGAGCGAGAAAGAGAGACAGAAAGTGAGGAAGCACCCCTCGCGGAGAATGGCCGCGCTGTGATCTCTTCTCCCTTTCTCCTCTCAGAAGCACACACATGCCTGGTGTATTTTTCAGGCCTCTGGGTCTGGGGCTCGAACCAGCCACGTGGTTGGTTCATACAGCTGCCTTAGCCACCATACCACCAGCTGGCCCTCATCCCTCTTTTTATATTAGCAGCCATCAATAATCACCGGGACCAACAGATGGCATAATGGTTATGTCGCTGGACTCCCACATAGTCGACTGTGGTTCGAGTCCTGGACCTGGTAGCTTAAAACTCACACTGGAAGGTGTGCATGCATCCCCAAGATCCCGAGAGGAGAATGAAGGAGAAGGAACTACGGCATGGTCATCCCCCCTGGGGGGATGATTTCTCACTTTCGGTCTCTCTGTCTCTCTGGCAAGTGCATGCACCATATAGCAAAAACCTCTTTAAAAATAATAATAATAATCACTTCGTACATCCATTAACTCACTGGGTTTGCAAAATGGTGATATTCTAATTTTACCATTCCTTCGTTAACCAGCTTTTATGAATACAAACTTTTCCTTGTCTACTGTTTCATTTTTGCACCAAAATAAATTCATACAGTTCCTATCAGGGAAAAGGGTAACTGCTTTAGCCCCCCCCCCTGCTTCTGGGTTCTCAGAATAATGAATAGTGACCCCGAAATGATCAATGAAGCGTTTGCTGCCATCTGAACATGCCTCGGACTCCCTGGCTCACTCAGGGAGGGTCAGACGAGGAGCAGGGTCCCCGAAAAGGTGGCGGCACATTGGAAGGGTGGGGTAGGGAAGAGATGCCTGGCTTTTCAGTTCAAGGGCCACCATGAGGGAGGAAAGGGCGTAAAATCATATTTACATGGACGCTTAACGAGCAGCACATTCTAGAAGGCAAAATGCCTCACGATGATGGGATCGCTAAACCTGCAGGTTATTTAAAAATAATATTTTCCAAACAAAATAATCCCCGACACACAAGCCTCTCACGAGGCAGGTGTAGTCTGGCACTCTCTAAATGAACATCTGAAGTGCAAACCTGCTGTCTCTAAACCCGGTAAGAGTAGGAGAGAAAACTCTGCTTTGGATTTGCGGGGTCTGGCTCTGGTGGGGGTAGGGCCGCTGCTTCGACTGCAAACTCCAGTCGGCGCCCCGTTGTCCCTAAGTCTGATTTTACCAGGACCTCACTTGCTTTTTCCAGCCAGGCCTGCACGTTCCGTCCTTCCGCATTGGGCATCCTTAGCATTGGGACTGGAAAAGTCCCCTAACCTGCCAAGTGAGGTCCCACTTCAGCTCCCCAGGCCCCAGAGGCCGCCCAGGCCCATCCCTCATCCCTTACTCGAATGACAGGCCCTGGGTGCGAGGGCCCTGCTCCCACACCCACCTGTGGGTCCCACACCTGGTTTTTCTGGAATCACCTAAGGCCCTTTCGGGAACTTCAGATGCACTGACTACACTGCAGAAACACTGGCTCTGAACTCACAGGTGAACTCAGGTGGAGTTCGAGAAGCTTTTTCCGGTTTCTGACACGCATCCCCTCCTGACCTCTCAGTGCTTCTCAGCCTCTCCCGGGGACTTACTGAGACAGACTTCTAACTCACCACCTCCGGGTGGAGCTGAGCACGCTCTTTCTAATGGACGCCTGGAGTTACTGACCTGTCTGCTGGCCCCAGGCCGCGCTGACCGGCAGGGACGGCAGGGACGGAGTCCGCCCCGCCTAAATAAGCGTATTTATGACTCTTTTGCTAATGAGGTGGACTGGGTGCGAAGCTGCTGTAGTAGAATTATTGGCCAGGCAGAAGGACAAGACGTGAGATACGTCAGGAACGTTTCAGTTTGCCTGTGAGTTAGGCAGTAGAGACTGTTCTTCTCTTTTATGTTTATATATTTTTTAAGGTTT